AAAACTTCTTTCGTTTTGTATATAAGTTTTTAATTCAAAAAGATTTCTGACGAATATTCTAATGGATTAGACTTTAAAAAGATATCTCTGTATTGACTCAAGGGATTCACACAAAACTCAGACAAACAGAAAACATAAAACAACACAAAAACTTTTAAATTGATTTTGTTGTGCAAATCGATTATCGATTTGTTACCAAAATTGAATGAATTTATTTTTAACGTTGACTTCATTTGGCTTTTTATAGAAATCTTAACTTTTTATCGGAATATTTTAAAAATCAAATCAAATTAATCTAATGGTCACAGAATATAAAAACATAAAATATGTGTTTATTTATAGCACTTATATTTTTATTCATTCAAATGCATGTTCAATGAAGTGAATGCCAGAATTTTATTACTGTATTGTTATAATTGTGTTCATAAAACCTATACAAGAAGACGACTCCCATTGTGTTTGATATACACGTAATCAATAAATAATAGGAAAACAGAGCAAAAATATGTTGTCTTTTCAATGACTGGTAATAATGAGTTGCAATAAATAGATGGTTTGGCATTCAATATCCAATATAACACATCCCAACCCAAAACCCCCGCAAATAAGAGACACCATAAGAGGAATTGGCGTTTATTGTCAAATAAAAATTTTTTTATTGTTTCGATTCAAAACATAAAGTATATGCAAATAAATTGTCATTATTATTATTTTTGTCACTAATAACTATAGAAAATAAATGATTTGAAATGATAATAATAATAAAATTTAGAAAAAGATTCAATCGTTATTATAATTATAATTTTGATTAACATTTGTTGTATTTATCATTAAAGTTAAGTATTTTACACAATCAAAAGGGTTGTTGTCTTCATTTTAGTGATCAAGAATTTGTATGAGTTTTTTGTTGCCTTTAGTTAAGAATTTTATCGTAAAATTTTTAATATCGAAAACATTTTCAACAAGAATTTTATTATGAAATAGTGCTCAATAACGGCGACTATAGTTATTATAACATAATTACAAGAAACACAAAAATTATGAATTTTTTTGGTTCATTTTCTTAATGTATTTTGTTTTGTTTTTTGTTAATTTAATGTTTGATTCAATTGATAACATCATTTCACAACTTATTGATAAGTTATTTATAATATTTATATTTAACTAATGAAAAAACTGTTTGACTAATTAGAATATTTGACATAAGTTTATAATAATAATGATTAATAATAATAATAATAATAATCTAAAGACTAATTAAATTAAAACAACTTAAAAAGCATTTAATTGTTGATGTGATTAACAAATTAATAAATATTCAAAATTTTCGCATTTTTCTGTTGTTTTGTTTTTATATTTGAATTAAAGAGAAAACGAGTTTAGAGATAATTTTTATGTGTGTTTTTTGTTTGTTTGAAAGAGATTTACGAATTGACAGAAAATAAGTGCAAAAAACAGGAATTGATTAAAAGTATTGGCAGTAAAACAGTGCCTAAAATACAATATGTTTGTCACTGACATTACAAGGAATAACAAAATAGTTAGACATTAAAACCAAATGAAGGGACCGATTTGGGAACCATTTAAACGAGTATTTATTGCAATTAATGGCTAATAATTTTTCCGGGTTTTCACTTTAACTTAAGAGATATTTTAACGTTTAATGTATAGTTAATAGAGTCGACGAATCCATTAAATCAGTTAATGTATTGAAGTTTTAGATATGAGGAGTTCTGCAATCAGTATATCTGTATAACAATTAGAGTTAGAGTTAGTGTTGAAGTCTTTGGCCATTCGGTGACGTCAGTCGACTTCAACCTAAAGATTCAATTAGATATTTAAAAGAGACAAATGAATGACATTTGAATGAATGGATGGCTGAAGTGAAGGGGTGTTAGACTTACGGGAATTGGTGTCTGAATAGGAGATGTATAGAGAGAATTAGCAGAGAGAATGACATTGCACGGGATGGAGGACTCCCTGTGCTATACATTTCCTCATACATTCCGGACCCCTCTTTCCGAGTGGTGTTTGCATTCTTCGTCCAGATTTGATAATATGTTTGAAATTATTTGTCAGAATCGGTGATATGACGGGCGGGTGCGGTGGGCTCGTGGGTACGGTCACCGACTGGTCGTCGTATTGTTGTTGATCTCTAATGTTAGCGTTGGCTTCACTTTGAGGTGTGGAGGAATGGCGTGTAATTGGATTTTCAATGTGATCTATAAATGAGTTGTGATGTCGATTGGGCTGATCTAAGGTGAGGGCCCCACCGAGTGGCCCACCAAATGACCCACCAAGCGATGCACCACCATGGTGACTCGCTTTCCATATATAGTGGGCCTTATCCGGCACCAGAGGAAACAGATGTCGGAACAGTTTGTTCATCTCTATCATCGCCGCCCGCGTCTCGTCTTCATATCGAGTTTCCCCAAATGTATTCTCTATTCAAATGTGATTCAAACAAATAAAGCAAATATTAGTCATGAATAGTGTATCCAATAGTGTATCCAATAGTGTATTCATTATTCCATTAGGTATTCCCTCAGCTTTTAAGATCTCCATCTCTAACACTAACTCTCAAACAAAAACATATCATATATTTTATGTCGATTCAAACATCTTGTCATCCATTAAATACAAATAGCTATTATGTAAGCATTCATTCAAATCATTATACGGTATCATTCAAAGCGAAATAATGTATTAAATACATTATATTCTTTGGATTGTATAATATTTTTCAACGACATTTTTTAAATCATAAAATATGTCTTTTATAACAAAAAGTTTTACTAAAAATGACTTTATTCCTGAGTTTTCTTAAAAACTAATAGCAAATATTCAAATAATAGGTATGATTTAAATAAAAATTTTAAAATATATAATTTTTATTACAGAAATTAATTAAATTATTCGCATAATATTATTTAAAATTTAAATCTCAAATAAAATTTGTGTTATTTTGTTTGATATTTGAAAAAGTAGCAATTTATTATATACTGTATATAGTTTTATGATATTCCAATTGTTATATTTATATTGTACTCAAAATAATGTATAATTTTGAGTGAATTCGCATAAATCATATCAATTAAGTCATCAAAAAGATAATGCTTTCAAACTAATTAATGTACAATAAATAGTAAAATAAATACAATAATTCAGTTTTGGGTCTAAAATTAGTAGAAAATATAGTTATTATATAAAATGGGAAAAATCGTAATTATTTTAATGAAAATTACGATATTTGTGGTACTTTTGATCAAACAATTAATCACTCTTTTTTTGTACTGAAATATTATCTCTATTCAAAAAATAAAGTTCGCTTTTTTGCTTTTATGCCATAAAACAAAATTACATTTCATTTTAATTAAAAGCATATAAATATTTAAAGAATTAATTTAATTTCAATTACAAATTTAATTAATTTCGTTCTAAATAAAAATAAATTTTATAAGAAACTTAGGATTTAAGTTAATATTATTATTAAGTGCTTAAATCAAAGGGTAGTATTTGAACAATGCCTATTTTTAGTATTGCATAAAAAATAACATGCTTTTATTGAGATTTTATAGAATTACCAACGGGATTCCATAAGCATTATAGATGCTTGAATGCTTTTTACTACAACCTATATGTTTTATAACATTTAAATGACATCTTTTTAAAAGTTTCGATTCATTTTATTTGTGTTTAAAAATTTAAACAAAAATTTCAAATTATATTTTAAGTTATATATCTTTAAATTAAGTTATAAGTTATATTCGTCACAACAATTAATAAATGTCAATTTGAGACTATATATAAATTTGTTTATTTTAAGTCAAACTTAATTAAACTTCGATATTATTCAATGAATAATGAAATACATGTAATGTTTGAATATTAAGGACATTGAGTACGTTATAGTAATTACAGTACAATAGAAACGACTGATCTATAAATCTACACAATTGTAATGCAATAGAAATACTTTTTAAAATGCAGTGAATAACTAACTTTTTTATATCTAATTGTAATGAAAAGCGTTGTATATTTAAAATATATTGTTTTTTATTAGTTTAGTATCTCTGAAAAGGCGCACAAATACTATAATTATAAGACCCACGCAATAGGTTTGCCAATTATTGTAAGGCCTGTGCAATCATTTGCTTCTCTATTAACGTTTTGTTTCACCATTTTTTATAGTATTAATAATATTGAGAATAATTATAATAAATGAATAATGAACTGTCTCTCCAAAAGTGGTTTATATAAATATAATGACATACAATGTAATGACAGCCCACTCTGGGTCTGACCTATAACTTCGTGAAAGCGTTATATGTTTTCGCTATGTTTTGCTTTCGGGAACCAAACATATATACATAGTATATTAGATATAGCTTTCAGTGCATACTATTTATATGTATTCATCAATTTATTATTATTTACACACAAAACCATCTTCTATCTGATTAAAAGCCAATAAAACACTAGTTATTCATTAAATTATTTAGTATTTCCAAACATTATATACACAATAATTCTATATTAAGGCAT